TCCTGCATTAGATGAAGGCGGTGAGGCTAGGGCTATTGCTCTCGACATATCTAAAGCTTTCGACAAAGTTTGGCATGCTGGTCTTTTCCATAAGCTTGCTTCATATGGTGTTTCTGGGAAAGTTTTTGAGATTATCAAACCATTTCTTTCTAACCGGTTTATTGAAGTCATCCTTGAAGGCCAACACTCTTCTTTATTTACAGTAACTTCTGGGGTTCCCCAAGGTTCCATCCTGGGCCCTGTTTTGTTTCTTATCTACATAAACGATCTTCCTGACAACCTTTCATCTAAAGTAGCACTTTTTGGTGATGACTTAACTTTATACTCCTGTCTTGACAAAAAGCCTTCTCTTTTCGATCGCCTAGAACAAGCAGCTGATCTTGAATCCGATCTCACTTCAGTAATAGATTGGGGTTCACAGTGGCTTGTGAATTTAAACTCTAACAAAACTCAGTTGTTTACTGCAAATAACTACCGTAATATGGTCAACATTCCTATATTAATGAATGACAATCCTCTGACTAAGTTCTCCTCTTTACGTCTTCTTGGATTATCGCTTACTACTGACTTTTTATGGAAACCATATATACAATCGATTGCTAAATTGGCTTCTGCTAAAGTTGCTTCTCTTTATCGTGCTCGCCATTTCCTTACTTCTGATTCCATTCTCTACCTCTACAAATCTCTTATTCGTCCCTGTATGGAATACTGTTGTCATATTTGGGCTGGTTCTTCTAACGATTCACTTTCTCTTCTTGACAAGGTCCAAAAACGCATTGTAAATGTTGTTGGACCTGGACTATCTGCTAAGCTTGAGCCTCTTTCCCATCGTTGTAAAGTTGCATCTCTTTCTCTTTTCTACAAATACTATCATGGTCACTGCTCAAAGGAGTTATCATCTCTAGTTCCATCAACTAAAATTCATTCTCGTTTTACTTGTCATTCTGCTAAGTCTCATTCGTTTACTGTATCAGTCCCTGCATGCTCTAAAAACTTTTATTCATCTAGTTTTTTTCCCCGCACTTTAATCCTTTTGAACTCTCTCCCATCTTCATGTTTTCCTGACTAATACAACCTTGAACTTTTCAAGTCTTCTGTCAACCATTTCCCTGCTCTATAACTTTATTCTTTTTTTTCCTAGTAACTCCCAACTTAATAGTGGTTGTTTGCAGCCTTGTTGGGAGTGAATGCAAATAAAAAAAAATCATTACAGAGTAGGGGACAGATACAGTAAAATCATTACAGAGAATCAAAAGAACCAATATTAATTTACCGCCTAGAAAATAATTACTGACTCAAAATCCTTTAAATGACAGTAGTGTGAAATGCCAAACCCTAATTGCAGTCTCTGAGAACCTTCCACTAAATTTAAACACTATCTAGCACACCTAATCTTTGATTTAGCCTAAGTCTCCACTTAATATTGTTTCTTTGTTAAGTTTGCACTTAATGTTGCTTCTTGTAAATCAGCTAATTATTTGTAGGGGTTCCAGTTGCACACTAGAGTCTTTCATGAGGTGTTATCAAGCTTTTAAGAAAGTCTGGCAGTGAACTCATAATAGTTAGATATTTGGAAATGCCATCCATAAACCAATCATTTATAAACCAAATAACTTACTCATGTTATGACTGATTCCATCAATGGAAATTCATCTTTTTAGTGTTGTGAATAATTTGTTTAAAGCATTAAAAGATTATTGCAATATATATATATATATATATATATATATATATATATATATATATATATATATATATATATATATACACACTTTTTTATTTTTTTATTTTATTTGCATTCACTCCCAACAAGGCTGCAAGCAACGACTATTAAGTTGGGAGTTACTAGGAAAAAAAAGAATAGAGTTATAGAGCAAGGAAACGGTTGACAGAAGACTTGAAAAGTTGAAGGTTGTAGAAGTCAGGAAAACATGAAGATGGGAGAGAGTTCCAAAGGATTGAAGTGCAGGGAAAAAAACTAGATGAATAAAAGTTTTTAGAGCATGTAGGGACAGATACAGTAAACGAATGAGACTTAGCTGAATGACGAGTAAAACGAGAATGAATTTTAGTTAATGGAACTAGAAATGATAACTCCTTTGAGCAGTGACCATGATATATATATATATATATATATATATATATATATATATATATATATATATATATATATATATATACATATATATTGCAATTTTTTTTTTAATGAATTTAATAAAATTGAGCTTTCAAAGTTGAAATATATATATATGAGAACAGTTGTGAGTTACAAAGTTAAAAATTAAATCAAAAACATCTTCATAACCAAGTCAAACAGAAGCTTATAGCGAATGAAATGGTGAAGTCTCTGGAAGACAACAATGGAAATCAAACGACAGTCATAAAATTTTTCATTTACTTAATTTATATTTCCAGTTTTATTTGTTGTTGAATCCTTACATCAGATGCCAACCTTTAAAAACTGAATAGAAATGGAATTTGTCCTGAGTGAAACAGAAATAACAACTAAATTTGTTCAGCAAAAGCTAGAAGATATTCCTATAATGATAACAATATGATAATGATATTGAGACATCATATTGAGACAAAGCCAAAAGATTATGATAACATACATCAACATGTTCTTTGAAACCATTGTGTTAGCCAGATATAGCTATGATTTTCAAAAACTCACTGGCTGAAGGCAGAGTCCCTAACCTACAGAAGCTAAAAACGTGACTTCTATATATAAAAATGGAAGCCAAAGGAAATGCTCGAACTTTAAACCAGTGTCTCTCACATTGGTACCCTGTAAGATAATGGAAAATTTTATACACAAGAAAATCATGAAACATTGCCTTAAAAATATGCTCTTCACAAAATCTCAACATGTATATCTTTCAAGACACGGCTGTACAACTAATCTACTAGAGGCATGTGACATCTTAACAGAAGCATTATTTCAAAACTATGTGATAGCCAGGATTAACATAGACTTTGCTATAGCTTTCAACAAAGTACCACATCAGCGTCTTCTTTTAAAACTTGAAGCATATGGCATAGACGGTACACTTCTAGAGTGGATAGCAGATTGGTTAAAAAAACGAAAATAGAGGGTGGTTATCAGCAATAGTAAATCTGAATGGGTAAATGTTACTAGCGGAGTTCCGCAAGGTTCAGTGTTAGGTCTACTTCTGTTTTTGATATATATTAACGACTTTCCAGACAACATGGTATATCATATAAAAACTATGATCTAAGATACCCTTAGATCTTACTGTTATCAAGGTTGATGACAGTATGATCTTATGGGTCATCATAACAGAAGATAATACAATAAAAATACAACTAGACATAAATCATGTGGTCAAATGGTCTAAGAAGTGGCTTATGTTTATCAACCTTTACATATGTAAAATCATATATGCTGGTTATTCAAATAAGTCAGTGCATCTTTACTCAATGCTTGACATAGACAACAATCGAATAGAACTTGGAACAACAGTTATTGAATGTGACTTCATGTGACAACAGTTATTGAATGTGACAGTTATTGTGCTGTGCCACTTTATCAGAGTTTACAGCAAAACTTTATCTTTATGATGGTTTTGCTTGTTAAATTTTGATGATGAATAAACAAATTTATACATATTACTACAATTCATAAAAAAATTATCAAACTTAAAAATACTGGAAAAAAAACTTTAGAGTATAGTAAACATATTTAAATTTTATAGAATTATTTTTGTACCCTTTAACACAGTTTTTTAACTGTGAACAATTTATCCCAGAAAATTAGTGATATAATAAAAAAATACTTTAACTACCAAAATACTAAGATTGTGAAAAAATCAAAACTAGAATACGAAATAGTCCAGGATTCTGGCATTAAACACACTGGTTGTAATGAACCTTTCAAGTCAATTAAGCAACCACTAATAAAGTTAGGAGGTAGCAGAAAAGCAAGTAAAGATTTAGAAACCAAAGCAAGGATGTTGTAGAAAAAAAAAACACAAGATGAACAAAAGGTTTTTTAAGCAGAAGGAACAGGTAAACATTAAATAATTATAACAAGTGAGATAAGTTATAGTTGATGAAACAAGATAGGCTTGAGCAGAGACAATATAAGCATTTGCAGATAAGAGAAAGTGATGCAATCTTATGGCAATGGGGTAGAGGCTCAAGCTTTACAGCTAGCTCTAACCTTAGGTTCAACAGAACCTATTGCAAAGTCCTAGGAGGATTAACTCTAAAAGTTAAACAACATTTACAATGTGATATTAGAGTTTGTCTAAAAAAAAGTCTCATTAAAAGAACCACCCAAATAAAAAAATAATTTTATACATTGAAAATTTTAGAAAAGTGTCTAGAACCTAATTTTTGAGATAAAATTTGATGTTTATTAATTATACAAAAATTCATAGCCAATGTAAAAAATTCATGTTGATGTATATTCTTTTTTTTAGTTACAACAAAATTATTTCACTTTAAAAAATTTAAATTGTTAAAAATTGTGGCTGTAATGTTTATGTTTTCAATATTCAACAAAAATGAAAAAAATTTAATACTTTAACTAAAATATAATTTCATTTTAATACTAAAAATGTTTAATACTTAAAGTATAATTTAACTATAAAACAACATATTGTATGCTAAGTATATTTTAGAGTTAACAACATTTAAAAAATAAATAACATTTTAAAAGTAAACAACATTTAAAAAATACTAACAACGAATAACATTTAAAAAAAATTTAAATAAAACTTATCTTTAACTAAGACATAACTTTAATGTTACAGAACAAAAACTCATAACAAGGCCTGGAGTATATTAGGATTAATATATGGTAGAAACATTCTAGATGTTGATACGTTTTTTACGCATAGTACTTATTTTTTTCACCATTGATGGTAAAAATTGAATAAATTTTCAATAACAAATCTTGTTTTGTTGCTATATACATGAAATAATTTTTATCATGCATTTCCTTAAAATAATAAAAAAAACAACTAAAAAACAACCTCTTCTCCAGTATAGTTTTTAAATGCATCCAAGTCCTCTTCATTACTAACAATTATAGCAATTAACTGATTAATAGCAACATCTCTTGTTCCAACTGGAACAATAATTTTAGCAAGATAGCCTGGCTCTGGAGTCTCCATTTCCATAGTAGATTTATCAGTTTCAATTAATGCAAGCACATCACCTTCATTAATTTTATCCCCAACTTTTTTCTCCCAAGAAACAATTGTTCCTGTTGTCATAGTTGGAGATAAATTGGGCAACAATACTTTTTCATGAGGTGGCATTGCTAGAATTTATATATATATATATATATATATATATATATATATATATATATATATATATATATATATATATATATATATATATATATATATATATATATATATATATATATATATATGTATATATATATATGTATGTATATATATATATATATATATATATATATATATATATATATATATATATAAATATATATATATATATTTATATATATATTTATATGTATATGTATATATATATATATATATATATATAAATATATATATTTATATATATATTTATATGTATATATATATATATATATATATATATATATATATATATATATATATATATATATATATTTATATATATATATATATATAGACACACACTCACTTACGATATACATACATACACATATATATACATACATAAGACATACACACAATATTTATATATATACACACACACACACATATTTTTTTATATGACGACATCTTGTATGAGAGTTGAATAAATTTAATATATGAACATCAATGGATACGAATTCTTTCAATACTAATTTTTTTAATTTAATTTAAGAAATTTTAGCTAGATTATTAATACTAGCATCTTCAGCTTTAATTGCAAACTATTAATTTAATTCAATTACAGACAAACGGTAACGCCACTTATTAATGGCTTCTATAAAGTTTGCTTTAATTGGGCTTCTTTAACATAGGTATAGAAAAATATGGCGTCCAGAATATTACATAGGTATAGAAAAATATGGCGTCCAGAATTATACATAGGTATAGAAAAATATGGCGTAATTATACATAGGTATAGAAAATTATACATAGGTATAGAATTATACATAGGTATAGGAAAATATGGCAGAATTACATAGGTATAGAAAAATATGGCGTCCAGAACTATACATAAGTATAGAAAAATATGGCGTCCAGAATTGCATTTTTACATATTGACCATCATCTAAATTCATATCTTTTTTATATATTTAATATGAATTTAGATAATGGTCAATATGTAAAAAAAGCAATTCTGGAAGCCATATTTTTCTATACCAATGTAATATTAAAGAAGCCCAATTAAAGCAAACTTTATAGAAGCCATTAATAATTGACGTTACCGTTTGTCTGTAATTGAACTTAATTAATAATTTTTAATTAAAGCTGAAGATGCTAGTAATAATCTTTTTAATGTCTAGTACGAGCTTGTTATAATAAAAAAAAACTTTCTTGTTAATAAACATTGTATTAAACTTATATTTCAGAGGTGGTATTGAAGAAGAATATCGTGATTGAACGTTACCTATTGAGTTTTTTGTAGTTAAATAATATTAGCTGTAGTTTTTGCTGAAATTTTGTAATAGTAATTTTAACCTATGCAATTTGTGTCTAAAGAAAATTATTATTAATTATAAAAATGAACTCCCAATAAAAAGAAATATGAAATTTATGAGCTTGTGTTTACTATTTTCAAACTTTTTCTATTTTCCTATTTTTAAAATATTTTTTTGAGGACTAATTTGCTACATGATGGTGTAAGGGTTTGTTCATAATAGACATCAAGCAGAATTTGAATAGTTAAGTAGGAGATCATTTGTTCTTTTCTACAGAGATTTTCATTGAACATAAATCACTATATTACCTTAAAAATCACCATTTAATGCCCACCATTGAAAAAAATATATATATTCAAAAGAATTTTCTTAAAATGAAAGCGGCAATTATATATCAAATATATTACTCTTAATAATAATTAATTAACATACACTGACTATTTTATAATATAAAAGTATATAATTCTTAATATATCTTTGAAAATCAGAGCTTAATTTGCCATATCGTTGTGAAACTACGTCTAATTTTGTGTTGATACAGACGGTATTTTATTTTTGGCAAAAAATCCTATGCATGATCAGAACATATTTTATTACTAGGGAAAGGGGGGGGGGGGGGTTTGATTAAGAAATTTTTTGACAAATTCCCAATTTCGTCAAAACGCTGTATCAAATTTATTCCTAGTTAATACCCTGATATATATATATATATATATATATATATATATATATATATATATATATATATATGTATATATATATATGTATATATATATATATATATATATATATATATATATATATATATATATATATATATATATATATATATATATATATATATATATACAGCCCTCAAAATTAGGGAAAATAATATTAGGTCTTGAGGTCAGCTAATTTTTGCTGACCTCAAACACCTCTAGGTTGGCATTGCCAAATACCGACTCTAATTTTGAGGACTGTGTATATATATAAATATATATATATATATATATATATATATATATATATATATATATATATATATATATATATATATATATATATATATATATATATATATATATATAATATTCCTTTGATGCAATTAAGTTGTCCGAAAGGGTGACTGTTGATTTTTATCGGCAGTTCTAGTTTTTTGTATTATATTGTTTTTATTTTAAATTCAAGAATTCAATAAAAAGAAAAATAATCTTCTAAAATAATAATAAAACTATCTTTTCATAGTCACAGTGTCAAAGTTTTTTTTCAGCATTTTTCATTATTAATTAGAACTCAAAAATATTGTCAACATATTTAATAAAATACTTTTTTTTTTTATTTTATTTTTTTTAATTCACCTCCTCAAGGCCGAGTAGGCCACTACAGACAAGGAGGCTACTTATTTTGTGGCTATAACCCTCTCTCAACTCTATAACTCCGAAACACGAACCTTGACGAACAAGGCCGCTGCGCGGAGAAACGAGTTGAGCGCGGTACTACCAGGGACGTGGTGGGGATCGAACCCGGAACCACTCGTTTATGAAGCGAGCGCTCTACCACTACACCACTACCGCACTACTTCCTAAATAAAAACTAAAAAGTTTTATCATTTAAACAAAAGTACCATTTTTTTTTTTTTTTTTTTCTACAAATTTTATTTAAGGATTTTGAGATAAAGTAATAAAACTAAATTTGCCCAAAAATATTATCTTTTAACATCATTTATGTGACTTATGTTATATGTATTTTTTTACGACCTAATATTTTAAAAATATTAGGTTGTAAAAAAATACATTAAAAATGACATTTAAAAAAAGGTCGTAAAAAATGATTTAACCGCAACTAAGAATTTATAAAGAAACAAATTGTTTTATAAAAAAATTCTTTTAACATCGTTTATGTGACATTCAAAGAATATTAGGTCATAAAAAAATTATCTTTTAACATAGTTTATGTGATATTTAAAAAATATTAGGCTGTAAAAAAATTATCTTTTAACATCATTTATGTGACATTTAAAAAAGGTCGTAAAAAAATGATTTAACCGCAACTAAAAATTTATAAAGAAACAAATTGTTTTGTAAAATATTTTTAATTTATTTAAATTTGATTCTAAAAATATTAATTTAGTTTTGAAGGATTGTAAAATAGTAAAATGTTGAATGTAAAATTTAGTTTCCAATAAATCTAAAATAGTTTTGCAGCTTTTATCAAATTTTTTTTCTAATCGCCTGTTAACTTATTCATTACGTAAAATATAAGTCATAGATCATCATAGATTATCATAAATTATAATAAGCAAAAGGAAATTAAAAATTTTATTTTTTCTTTTAAAAAGGGAGAAGTGCTTTTGTTTAAGAGAATTCTTTTCACAAATATATTTTTTGTTTCTTATTAATTCAATACCATGTAAATTTTTTTTGATGTAATACATTTAAGAACATAAATTATGCTTACAAATGTCTATTTGGTAACTGATAAAATATATCTATAAATTGTTTATAATCTTTATTAAAAATACTACATTAAATACATTATAATAAATAAATAGATAATGAATAATTTAAATTTTAAAAAAATAAAATAAATTGCAAATAAATCAAACAAAAAAAGAATATGTTAGGTATAAGATTATTTTAAGAAATAAATTATAAGGGAATATAATCTCTCTTTTAACTACCGAATTTAGATTCAATTAAAAATTTTTGTTAAATTAGTTTAAATAAATTTTTAAATTTAACTTACAGCGCAATACTTTAAAATACTTTCAAAATATCAATAGTTTTTAAGCTCCTGTAACAAAAATCTTAATAATTACAACACATTAAAAGCGAAGGATTTTTAAGTATTTGTTAACTGTTTTTTTATATTTGTCAATACTTTGTTGTTGTAAAAAAGAGCACATATTTTTTTGATAAATAAGCCCTTAATTTAAGTAAAAAAACCTTTTTAAAAAATTATGTAAAAAAAATTTTTTTTAAATAGCGACAGGCAACTGAAAAAGTTGGCAAACGACAAAAATTAAAAAAACTGGTTACTTGCAGTCGCCCTTTTGACAACCGACCTAAAGTCCAAGTGTACACCCCAGTATATGTATATATATATATATATATATATATATATATATATATATATATATATATATATATATATATATATATATATATATATATACATAATTTTCCTAAGTCCTTTGGAGGTTCAACTTAATGGGAATTTCCCATTAACTCAAACCTCCAAAGGACCAAGGAAAATGGTTTGAATAAACGGTTGTTTATTCAAATTATTTTTGCTGTTCTTTTTATAAGATCCCATCAAACTGTCGTACTATTCAAATATTTCTTTCTGCAGAATCATTTCAGACAGTTATAATAAAATAAAAAATTTAAAATTTTACTTTTTTTATAAATACTTAAATTAACTTTCATTAAATTTAACTTGATTAAAACAAAACAGCTTCTCTGTAATTGCCTCATAAAGCAAAGTAGATAATTAATGGTGTTAAAATTTCAAGGACCATTTTTTGAAATATGAAATTTTGCATAAAGTGAGTTTGATATTAGAAGAATTCTACATGATGCTTATAGTTATCCCTAGGAAAGTTGTGTCAAAAACTCTATAAAACATTTTGCTTCAAAATACTTGTATATTCCTGAACCAAAAGTAATTTCTTTTTTGCATCAGGAAAATTTTTTTAATCTTGAGATATTTTTTATGTGAAGATTATAAAGAGAAAAAAAATGCATGAAAAAGGGTTACATATAGAAGAGAGCGAGACGCTATCAAACATAGTATTTGTAGAGGCATCTTTAAAGTTGTGACAACCTCTTTTATATGTTAAAACAGTTACTACTAGAGCTATGTTTTGAAAAAAAATTATACCATTTGACATCATTAGGCTGAAAGGGATCGAAATTTGTGTTTTCTTGATGACAAAGTAATTAATTAGTTTTTAAAGTTCATATGTTTTAAGATATCTTATTCAATCTATGGGCTCTTTATTTCATTAAACAAAATCATTTGAATCAATTGAAAAAACAAGCTGATGTTAAAAATAAAGCAATTATTTAATACAGCATTTGTGAGGGGTCCTAAATCTGTAGAATAATACTCAATTGTATCATGAAAAATTCTATAAATCATTTTTTAAAAAACTTACTTTCAATTTTTAAAAGATTTATGTTAATATAATACAAAGAATTGCAATACAAAGCCATTATTTATTAACACTTAGGCTTAAAATTTATAAAAAATATATTATCTGGTCATTTAAAATGTAATTTGGACCGTTGAATGCATTATTTGAGTTATAATAATTAACTAGCTGATCTGACATGTAAAAAATATGGATCTTTGTAAGCCTACAGACCTTTTCTATTCTTATATATATATATATATATATATATATATATATATATATATATATATATATATATATATATATACACACATCCTAGCTTTCCGGACCCATAAAATATGGGTCAATAGCAAAACTACATTTTCTATACTTATCTATGTTACACCGATCATTTCTATACCTACTATTTCTTTACTTCAATATTTTTACGTCAAATAATTCATTTTAAAAAATTGCTTTAAGAGCAAACAAAATTAACATGCACACCACTTCAGCATACCTAGAGCTTATAAGAGATTTATAATTAGATTTGTTTTTCTCCTAAATGCATATCATTGATTGCTCTGTGGTTTAATGCGTTGTCATCATTGTCATTTTGGGGGATTAATAATCTCCCCTAATAAATTTTGAATATTTTTCAATCTAGCTGTGTTTATAGCAATATTTATAGCAAAATTTTTATTATAGTATATATCTATAATAATTATATCTATAATTATTGCTTATAGCAATATTTATAGCAAAAAATACTTGTATAGCAAAAAAAAATTTTAATTGTTAAAATAAAATTCAAAAGTTTTCTTATTTTTACAGATTTATTATACTCGATTGTTCCATATACTGCCTGCAAACTCAACATATGCTAAAGAGGTTAACTTTCACAGACATTTGTATGCAACACTATACAAATAGCAGAACTAAGAAGATCTTGGGCCATTAAAAACTATAGAATATAAAATGCTAAGGGATCATCTATAAATTAAGCAAGGCTGAATTTATTTTTAAAAGAGGAGATCTTAAGTTCTTTTAGATGGCGATTTTCATTAAACTTGATGAGCTATTTTGATTTTTTATTTAACATGAATCTGCAAGGGAAAATTTTGATCTTTTTTGTTTTTTTCATTAGTAAAATTTAGCGTTGCGTAATTTATGGAGAATCTCTTATTTAAAAGTTTAGATTGTGGGTCAGCCAAAAATTATATAAAGCCAAAAAATAATGGAGTATAATATTATTTTGATGGTTATCTAAATTCTGTTGTTGTTGCGTACTTGGTTTAGAATGTTTAACAGGGCTGTGGTAAAATAACTGTAAAACTCTAAATTTCTTTATTGTATCAATATTAAATAACTTTTCATTATTTTTAAAAGTATTTACTTTAATAAAATTTTATTATTATTAAAGTATAAAATTTAATTAATAAAGTTTAATTTAAGTATAAAATTAGAATTTTCAATTATGCTCTTATATTAAACATACTTTTTAAACCCACTTACTGTTGTAAAAAAGTTGAGGTTGCTGCGTGGCAAAACCATCAGCTTGCTTTATTTTTTAATTTTTGTTATTTAAAATGCAAAGTAAAACAACTTTACAGTTCTATAGATTTTATATTCTATATGTAAACATGTTGTATACTCATTTTCTTGCAGAAACTCACTTAGTTGTAAAAAACTTGAAACGTGAAACTAAAATAACATAAGTATCTCAACTATGACACACATACAACAAATATCCTCCAACTTGAGATATGTTTTAGTATGTTTTAACATTTTGAAGTTTACGTATGTTAGATATTTGCATACATTTTTGTTCACGTTTTCTTATTAAACAAAGCTGTTGCAACTCTTTCTCGCCATTACCTCAATTGCAATAACTGCAAAGAGTTCTGTGTCAAATAGGGTCCAAAGGGCACTACTACGACTATTAAGTTCAGTATTATTATACAGATTTGTTTATCTTTCATGTAAAAATCTGCCTTTTCTCTATGTTTTATACTTTTTTTTTAAGTACCCCATGGGTGGGGCAACTTAAAACAAATTTCTAATTTTACTTTAAATAGTCTTACAAGTTTAACCTGATATATTTTGGTAATTTATAAATTTAATTTTGTAGATATAAATTTATTCTACAAATTAAACAATTCACCTAAATAAGACGGATTTTAAAAATTGTTACAAAGCAAGAACCAAAAGAGTGCCTCTCTCCTGTAACTTTTATTTTTATTTTTCATAATAAAAAATAAATAACATATTTGATACTTAAAATCTATAAATAGTAAATTATGATTATAATTATGTATTATGTAGCTGGCACTACTAGACACTTGTGATGGTTCATTTAGATCAAGCAGCTTTTCCCTGAGAAGGATTAGCATTTTTGCAGCAACCTCATAACTGTTATTTCCATTGAAGTTTGAAGTTCTTTGTGCTATATTTATATGCAAGATATACCTGAACTGGTTAATTTTGAAATCTTTTTAAATGGTTTGAAAGAGTAGGATATCAAAATCACTATTTGTAGCATCTTTAATATTAAATTTTATGGCAATTAAAATATCTTTTTTTTTTAAATTACAAAGTAATGAAGATTGATTCAAAATATATTGATAAACTGTGATGAAAAGAACCCCTGCATAAGCATTGCTCAGGAGCTGTTGATTGATGTCAATGATAATCTTTATTTGCTTAAAAAGATCTGGTGACCAATCAGGAGTATATGGTTATGATGTCGAAATCAAACTCAATAGAAGTACCCAAAAGTAACAAGACCAAAAAAAGCTTGCCAAGTTTAACCAAATGTAAATTTTTTGATTACTGTTGCAATAGATTTTGCTACGAGGTCGTAGGGTCAACAAGGAGAAAACTTCAGAAAACTTTGACGAAGGATAACTACTACTTACGATAAAAAGTAAAATTTTAAATTTTTTTAAGAGTCACAAATGATTCTGACTAAATAAACTGAGTAAACAATTTAAGACAAATTTCATATATAACTTGGTCCTACAGAACACACAAAAAAAAACTTTAATATGTATTTTATTACATACTCTTCAACAGTGATAAATTGTTATGGAGACAATTGCAGAGGAGAGTTTTTTGTTTATTTTTAATTAAATTTACTGAGAGTTAGGTTTAGTTTGATAATACTTATAATTAAAGTAAAAATTTCAATTTTGTTTGTTATAAGTGTCAAAAATGATTATGAATTATGTGGATGCATAGTTGAATAAAAAGATTGTATTTTTATACTCTATTTTTTTAGGAGTTATTTCAAAGAAAATTTTAATTTAAGATTTGGTCGCTCCTAAATACATGTTTGCAGTAAATGCAAAGAATTAGATTGAAAAATTAAGTCACCTTTACTGAATGAATATGATGCTGTTGTAGGAATAATGGTGCACAAAAAAAAGACCCAAAAAGTATTTTTAAGTTTTTTAATGCTGCTTTGTAGACTTTGAGTCAAAAGGACTTGTGGTTTTTAAAATAAAATAAAATCTATAGCAATTTTTTCAGAATTATATAATTATAATTAATATATATAAAGATAATTTTTTTTTTTTTTTTAATTTACAGTGTTGATTTTGTAACATGGATGGTTTTTGCATATCACAATATAACAAGAAAACTTGTTTTAAATTTATTTTGTTTATAAATATTATTTATCAACAAACAAAATTATTCATTTACTTTATTATTTATTTACTTATTTCTGCTTTTTTTGGATATGATTAAAACTATGATTATATCAACAACAAAAAAAAAGTTTTAAACTAAAATAGAAAAATTGAAACAGAAAACCTGATCAAAGTTACCAATCATTTATATCATTACTTTTGCATTATAAAAATGCAAAATTAGTGTAATTTGCAACAACCTCTATATCATTTTGATATTTTAAAAATAAATGTATATACTTTGTGGTTTAATTCAAATAACTTTAAAGTTTAAAAAGTTGTCTAATACTTACTGGCATAATTTCTTTTTATAGACATGTCATTTAACCTTCCTTGATTTTCCCAGCATGATGTGAACAACCTTTGAAAATTAAAAAAAAAATTCTTTTTAAAAATTAAGTGTTTGAAACTAAAAAGTATTGAACTAAAAATTAAGTGTTTGAAAAACAAATTAATTTTCTAAACTATTTAAAATTTACTTTTTTCATATTATTTTAATCTTGCATATATTTAAAATATTCTCCTATATTTTTTCAATTTCATGTATATTTTAAATTTTCTCACATATTCTTATATTATTTCAAAAATTCAAAGTTGATTTTTTACCAAAATTGATTTTCTATATCAACAAAAAAATAACTTATTAATATATTTTACAAAAACTCACAACAGAAATTGGCTCATAGTTATGAGCCAATTAAAGTAGTCAATAAGGTGACAACTACAAACATAAAAAGCACAATAAAACATAAAAGAATAAAAATAACGCTATGATATATTTCTCTTTTTTTTTTATGTTCAGATTCACTTTCTACAAGGCTGCAAGCAACCACCATTAAGTTGTGAGTTACTAGAAAAAAAAGACTAGAGTTATAGAGCAAGGAAACAGTTGATAGAAGATTTGAAAGATGTAGGTCGTATGAGCTAGGAAAACATGAAGATGAGTTCAAAAGGGTTGAAGCACGGGGAAAAAAACTAGATAAATAAAAGTTTTTAGAGCATGCAGGGGCAGAAATAGTAAAAGAATGAGACTTAGCTGAATGACATTCAGTCAAGCAAGGATGAGTTTTAGTTGATAGAACTAGAGATGATAGCTGCTTTGAGCAGCTACCATGAGTATTTGTAGAAAAGAGAAAAATATGCAACTATACATCGATGGGAGAGAGACTCAAGCTTAGCAGATGTGTTTACAATGTGTTTTTGGACCTTGTCTAGAAAAGAAAGAGCATCATTGGAAGAACCAGCCCAAATATCACAACAGTTTTCCATACAGGGGAGAATAAGAGATAGTAGCTCTATAATTGGCTAATTTAAGTCAACTGACACTTATCCTTCAAAAATAAATATTGTTATAAATGTAAATTGTAAAATAACCGATAAAAACATTAATAAAAAAAAAAACCAACTAGAGTGGCAAAAACTAGCAAAAAAATAAAGATTTTACTTTCCTTTAGTTTATAAATGTATCCAACATCTTTAATAAAAACCCTGCATAATTTGCATAGGCATTGCTTTGGAATACAGTTTTTTATTTTAAGTTTAAATTCCTTCATAGATGAAGATGTTTCACAATCATTCATAGATATTGGCGCAATATGTAATTTTACTTTGAAAATCTCAGTGACTAAAAAATGCAGGTTTTTTTTGTGTATGGTTAAGGTACCGCTGTTTAGTAAGAGAGTTTCAAATGGAGATTCATAGTGTCTGTATATAATTCTTTAAGCTCTCTCATGGATTCCATTTATGTGCTTATTTAGTTTCTTACTGTGAAACATCTATACAAGTGGGCAGTATGAGAAATTATAAATGCAGAAAGTTTACATTGATTAAAAGACATGTCTGATGCAATTCATGAAAGTGCATTAACTTTTCTGCTGGCAAATTTTAAAAATGTTAAATAGCAGAGGTCCAAGAATCAAACCTTGCGGAACTCCATCTAGCATATCTAATTTGGCATTTTGTAATGCATAGGATATGCAATCAAAGGCTTTAGAGAGATCATTTAGTAAAGCACCAAAGCATTGCAATCAAACATTGTTGAACACAATAACCTTTACAAAAACCATAAGAAGCAAACTTAGCAGTGACGACTCAGTGAGTCATCACTGAGTCGTCTCAATCAGGTTGCTATTCATTTATTTAGGAAAGTTGACAGTATTGCTATATTTTTTGCAGTAAACCTCTGAGTTTTGTTGGAGTTAAAATTTACATGCCACTGTGATCCCTAATCTGTTACAGAAGCAAGATCAGATTTAAGATCGGCCTGTTCTAAGAGAGATGGAATTGAGAGAACTTTTTGTTAAGACAGAAGTATAAAGTTGAGTGATCAGCAAAAAGAGATACTCTAGATGCAAGTTGTTGAGAAGATTATTATTGTAGATGAAAAAAAAAAACAGAACCAAGTATAGAGCCTTGGGATATTCCAGAAGTTACTGGAAATGAAAAAGAGTGTTGGCCCTCGACTTTAGTAAAGCGGTTAGAAAGAAATGATTTGATAATTTCAAAAACTTTCCCAGATCACACCATATTACTTTATATGAAGCAAGCTTATGGAGAAGACCAGCTTGCCAAACTTTTTCAAAAGCTTAAGATATGTCAAGAGCAATAGCTCTAGTCTCTCTGCCTCCATCTAATGCACAAAAAAATCTTTCAGTCACAGTAGTTAACAAGTCAGCTATAGAGCAATAGAATCAAAAACCGTATTGATTAAACCAAATTGAAGACGGGTTGTGAGAAATTTGTTGATCAAAGACTCAAAGACATTGCTAATAACAGAAATAAGTCTTATTGGACAATAATTGGAAGGATCAGAATGTTCTCCAGAGTTTTTGGAAATTAGAACAGAAAATACCATTTTCCAGCAGGCAGGAAAACAAGATTCAGTTGAGCACATATTAAATTGTTTATAGAGAATTGAAGAGAGTTCTGGAAACATTTTGACTATGACATGTTGTTTGGATCACAAGCTGTAGAAGAATTCAGATACAAATTTACCAACAGAAGCTAGAGTGATTTGAATGTCTGACATTGGGGTAACCTGTTTAATTGGAAAAAAAGGAAGAGAATGGCCATAAGATTCAAGAGTTGAATTAGAAAAAAACTCTTTGCAAATAGTTCTGTCTCATTCTTGGGAGAGGTAAAAAGATCAGTCAATGAATGAGAGATGAAATATTAAACCCACCCTTGTTAATGATGCTGTTGAAGATTTTCCAAAAGCCTCTAAAACCTAACTTCTGAGATAAGATGCAAGACTTAGTGAGCTGAGAATAATGGAGCTTAGCATCAGACAACACTTTTTACATCGATTTCTGGCAATAGTAAGTAGTCATTTGTTCTTATGAGAGTTTGTTTTTTTTAAAGATGAAAAAATGATTATAATTAGATATAGCAGCTGCATAAGAAGATGAAAATCATGGAGTAGAATGAGACTTGACTCTAAACTGATGAGAAGGAATAAAAGCTTCCATTCCTGCCTGAATCCAGGAGATTACATAGGAGGCACATTTATCAGCTGAGAAATAAAAGACATCATGAAGAAAACCATAGAGTCCCAGCTTTAGGGTAATAGTAAGTAGTGCGATGATAGGTAGTAAGTAGTGCGATGATAGGGTGAGAGATGGAGATTTTATGTTTAAAATTTTAGGTTACTTTCTGCATGATTTAAGTTTCAAGAGAACTTGACTAATTCATATATAAAGCACGAACTTATTACTAACAGCTGGCCTCAGAACCATTAAACTAAGTTTTAGAGCTGTATACTCATTAGGAGATAAAAGGAAGAGTTTCATAGCCACTATCAATCATCAGGAACAAGCAAAAATCTATGATTAGAGTCAAGAAGATACACCATTCATGATCCTAGACAGGAAACAATCTTACAAAGGTTCACATCTATGCCACCTTAATAGATGAAGTTGAGGTTTGAGGCTGGTTAACAGAAAAATTCTGCTAGCCAGGCTGGTGGTCTGTGAAGCGAACCTTCCATAAGTTGGAACTTACCTCTTTACTTTCACTAAGACCCCTAAAGTCTTTGCCTAGGAGCCCTTCTACAAAATAGTAACTGGATGCAGTTAACATCTGCCCAAGATGAGTATTTTTATAGAGACACCATCTCTAGCCTTTAATCAATAAAGAACCCTAAGACAGGGAATTTTTTAGTCAGAGTTTGTTTCTTCTAGCCTTTGCCTAAAAAAGCAAACCTACAAGGCAACACTACAAAGCAACACTACAAGGCAACAAAGCATCAGGCAGGTAGCACTAAGTTACATGATACCAGTAGCAGGGTGATCAAGATGATCCTGAACTTGACCTGTACCAGAATAATGGTGTTAATTATAGTTTATTTATGTAGTTGCAGTCGAGTGTACATATAGCAACTGTTTTAAATAGGGAAAGGCGACTAATAGTTTAAAAGTAAAACAAAATTTTGTCACTTTGTCCCAATAAATTTTGCACTAATCCCAATAAATTTTTGTAAAAAATTTATTGGGACTTAGCAAAAAATTATACAAATATTAAAAAAAATCCACAATGATGTGATATACTGAAACTGATATGAGTTGAATGCGCATGAAATAAATTATGCATTCTGCCGATTTTGCCGAATATTATAAAGACTCTGAGAGCTAATAAAAAATGGAGAAAAAAAGCTTCGACTAAATTATTTTTGGTTTTAACCAAAAAATTTAGCCCAATGTTTTATTTAAACATTTTTCAAAACATGAATGTCACAATTTGTCTTGGTACTTGAGGATCCTTTTAATGTTTGCAATAGAATGTTTCTGTTAATATGACATATTTGTTTACTTTTATTTTTAACTTTATTTGTTATTCAAAATTTATTTACAACTTTTATACATAAACAAAAATTCTTGAGGGCGTATTTTATACAAAAATAGTTTATGGCTAGCAACAATAAATTATATCAATTAACTTTTAACAAAAATGTAATAAGCATAACAATAAACTGTTATAATAATTAGCCATTTTCACATCTCCCCAAATAAAGTTCTTAAGTAACATAGGTCATTAAAGCATGTCAGCTTTCTCCTTTCTCTGGTTGACCATCTGATCGATGGTAATAAATTATCAACATTTCTTTGCCATCAGTTTCCTCCTCAGCGTCAACAATCTTTTTTTTGATTTCTTCCTCCATTGCAGTAAAAATACCTAAATCTTTTAATTCACTTTCATTGCTGTCACTCTTCACTGATAATAATTTTAAATGAATCATTTTTAGAATTTGAGGCAAGAGGTATTCTCACATCTCACACATCTTGGTACACCATCAACTTTGATATTTGTGTTTGTGAATGTGGGTCACAGTACCAACTTTTCAAACAGAGGTGCACTTTGCACAAGCAGGGAAAACATAATCTTGTTCTCTAATTCTATAAGTTGCAGTAACTCACTGCTTTTTTTGTTGATTTTTATCTAGTTTATTTAATTTCTGTAGTAATTCAATGATTTAATTATTTTTATTTGTTCATGTTACTAAGAAGAATTGTTTCAAATATGTTAAACTTTTCGAACTACGCAAAGCATAAAATAGGTATTAAAAAATTATCTTTTTTATTTATAAAATAATTTAGCTTAGATAAAACTAAAAGTTGCATTAGTTTTATTAGAATCTTGTTAGACTTTTCGGGGTCGGGGGCTATTTTCATTTTGGATGCCTTTGTATGTGCCACAGCGTAAACATGACTAAAAAAAATTGTCTTCTTGTCCACCCATCCCTACTTAATCTGGCACTAGAAATAAGAAAAGACTATATAAATAAAAATTATTTAACACTCTTTATTAAATAAAGAACATTTATTTCCTTTTTAAACAATCGTAAGATGTTACTTTATATAAAAAACATCGCTTAATTTTATAAAAAAATTATAAAAGAGCGATGTTTCAAAAATATTTGTTAAAAATAGTTAAAAAACAAAAACGTTTTTTAATAATATATGCAAAAGAATAATCAATGTTGGATTTTTACATTTAAAGTTTCGATGCTTAGTTAAAGCACATTCTTATAACAAATTTGTGTAACATAAGTTAAAAATACATGCATTTACTTAAGTTCTGGTGCTTTTTTGTTGAGTTTTAGTTGCGGAAAAGCGCAACACAAATAAATGTAACTTTACTCAATAAAGATATTTACATCGTTAAAAGTTTAATTATGTCATTTTCAAGAACTATTTTTATATCTTATTTTATAACTAAGCTAGAACCTTGAGGTTTTTGCATCAGTTAGTTTGACTCTCTCTAACTATATATACAAAGTACTAAGTTTTAAATGGCTTCTTTTATATACTATTCATGTCTTAAGACCACTTTTGATAAAAAAAACTTGCTGCAGAAATGTTTTTTCAAAAGAAGTTTTTGAAGATTTTTTGAAGTTTTTGAAGGTAAGGATTACTAAGTACCAAAACACATCGAATTGGTTTGAAATTTTCCAAACAGATTAAAAAAGGGATAGAGAATCTAATGGAATAGGGAATTTTTCAACATTTATACATAATGTCTTTGTTTTCAGAATTCAAAATCTTTAAGGTCTGTTTATTAAAACAGACCTTAAAGTTTATAAGCCGTCGGATCAATAAATTATATTTTTTTATTGTTTTGCTATTATTTCCAAGTAGTTACTCTTATTACATTTAATGTTTTGTGTGACTTATATTTATCATTATATAAAACAATTCATTGTGCCAAGACTTGTTTCAAAAATCCTCTTAATTTACAAGGGGAAACAACAGACAAAGTTATAGAGAATGCAAATTTTGCCGACGCTGGTGAAGTTCTTGCACAATTTTGGTTCAGTAAAATTGTTGGTGGATTTGAAACTATAGCTGAGTACAAAGAACCAAACAGTGAAAAAGGTCTTCATTTAAAGCAGCTTGGAGCATTTGGATGTTAAACATGTCAGAAAAAGTCAAAAAATACTTCAAACAGTAAAATATAATGATCAAAACCTCTTCTTTCACCACTTTCTTTGTTCCAAAAAGAAGAGGGCTTAAGTGCAATAATTCAAAGAACAACTTTGCAAACCTCTTTTTAAATTTATCACTTTTCAAACCTCTTTTTAAATTTATAATAATTTTGCCCATAAAAGTTACAAAAATGTTTCCTAAAATATGCCATATGACTTCTCATGTCCAAGCATTCAGTTTTTTACCAAAAATAATTTGTATCAATTGTAGCCTATATTTTGTAACTATCAAATCAATAAAACAACACAAAACAGTTTGCTCAAATATTAGATTATCAAATGATACTTAAAAAGTCTGATTTAAGAACAAATTTAGGTCTTAAACAGAAATTTTTGTCTTTGACACGTCACACAAGGGTGGGGGCGGGGGGTAGTAAAGGGGCTTCTGAAAAATGCCACAAAATGTCACATAGGGGAGAGAAAGAGTGTTTCCAAACACACCAATAAAAATGTCACATATTTATTGAATAGCCGCTTAAAGAGGGAAATGTCTTTCAAAATAAGGTAAAAGGGTGAGTGCTTTAATAAGCTCAAAATAGGCAGAAAAAAGGCGCGATTTTTTCAGAAGATTTTTTTTCGCCCTAAGAGCAATTTTTAAATGAATTGTTTTTCTACTGTTAATTTAAAAAATACTGAAGTATATAAGTATAGAAATGGTTTAAGTATAGAATAATATAAAAATAAGTATAGAATAGACTTATTCTACACCAACCAAATACTTAATGTACCCATAAGACTCATATCTTATTGGTATGGTTAGCTAGTATTTAATCATTCATAATTAGTTATAAACTAATAATTTCTGAAAAAACTTTTTTGTCTAAAAATTAACAAATCATTTTGAGCAAAAAAAATCAAACATTTCATAGAAATAATTAAATTACCTTTTGTGGGAAAATGGAGAAGCAGAACTGCATATATTTCTGGATAACTCAAAATTACTATTTGAATTTTGTAGTTTTTGAATTTCAGTTGTAATAAAAATAATGCTTTTTGTATTTTTGTGTTGAAAGAAACCAACTCTACTGCGAGCAACTCTGCATATAAAAGCTGATACTGACATATTTTTTAATTAAACTATTAAAATAATTGATATGATTTAATTAAACAAACAACCATATTAGATACTAACAATTTTATTAACATTAATTTTAAAAAGTACCAAATTTACGAAACTTATATTAAGGATGAAATAACTTATTTTGTTAAAAATAAAAAATAACTAATTTTTACTAAAAAAATACATATTTTATATGGAAAATATAAAAAAGTAATAATTTTACTACTTCAAATCAAAGTGACAAAGGTATATATATATATATATATATATATATATATATATATATATATATATATATATATATATATATATATATATATATATATATATATATATATATATATATATATATATATATATATTTATATATATATATATATATATATATATATATATATATATATATATATATATATATATATATATATATATATATATATATATATATATATATATATATATATATAACTTTTATGCAATAACAATAAACAACATACTTAAAAAAACAAACTAAAAAAGCAAAGTCTGTAAAAGAGATATTTAAAGATTTAATTTTTAACTAATTTGTCAGAGCTAAAATATATAATACAGTGATTTGTTTAGCTAAAACATAGCTCATAAAAAAAAATTATTATGCAATAACTTAGAGTGTAATAATTTTATTTTTTATCAATCAAATAATTTTATTTTTTATCAATCAAATAATTTTATATTTTATCAATATAATTTAGAGTCAAATAATTTTAGATTTATCAGTTGGTCCACTCTAATCAAAAACATTTGCATTTAATCTGCACTCTTTATCATTTATTTTTTTAATTGCAACAATTGTGCTTTTTAAAAAGCATTGCAGTTTATTATGCAATTAATTAATTAATTTTTTTATAAAAATGACTTGTTTTTAATGTGTTTTTCATTTTAGTTCAAATTAAACTTATTAAATTATTGTATCATCCTGAAATTACAAATGATTGTCTTGAATATAAACATTTTTTAAAAAAACATTTTTTTTTTTTTTTTTTTTTTTTAATACTACGAAAAGAATAGGCTGTTGAAGTTCAGTTGATTGTGAATTATACAAAAACAGCGAATTTTTGACAGAAAAAAAGAAATGAGAAAAGAGAAACAAAAGAGCTAAAAATAAAAGAAGGGATGTGTTTGACAGTCACATACCTAGTTTTAAAAGAATCAGACTCCTCCATCATTAGAAAAGAAATTGAAACTGAAAAAGAGCATAGAAACAAAGCAAGTGTTTTCCAGCATTTTATTCAGTTCTTAATTGTTTAAAAATTCTCAATTGTTCTGGTTCCTTGGTTTTGTCTACAATTTGTCAAGGGTTGTCATCAATTAAATAGGCTATATGAGTTATATATATTTATTATCAATAAAATTTTAATATATTGTTTGAAAAAAATATTCCTTATTTTAAAAAACTTATATTTATTTATACTTATTTATTTCTTAAAACATTTATAACACAATATTATTACTTTGTTTGCTTTCTCACAAAGCAAACAAAGTAATATTTTTTTTTTTTTTTTTTGTTTCAAAAGCAATTTTAAAACTAAAAAAATCAACTTTTTATACATTTGTTACATAAAGATTACAAAAAAAATTCTCTAAAATAATTTTGCCTACAAGCTTGATTATGGTTTATTTGGCCATGCATTTATATAGTTTTTGTAACAGGATAAAATTACAGTAATATAACCATATTTAAACCTTGCCGTTAATTTTTTAAAAAACTAAATAAAAAATTTGAATATTAAAAATATTTTCAAAAGACTCAAAAAAAATTTCAAAAACTTGTATAATTTGCATCCTGCATTTCAATATTTGTTTCTATTTTTGAAATGTTAAACAAAAAGTTTGTGATATTTTGAATATATTTTCAGTGTCATACTAACATAGCGCTGTTTGGGACAAAGCCCAGGGCCTCCGTCAAGGGCGCATCAAGAGACTTCATGATGCCCAGGAAAGATCATTAAAAATTTACTGGATGCCCCACACCCTACCACTACTAAAGTAGAAAATCATAAGAAGAATGAATCACTTCTAATATTTTTTTCCCCTAATGATGCTCCATAGGCTAGCTGACTGAGGAAAACCAACTTGAATCCCCTAACCTCTGTACACCCCTGGATGCACAAAGAAACTTTACAGAAAACTATAAAACAAATTTTCAGAAATAAATATTTTTCACTTCTGTAAAGTTGTGTAGAAGATATTCTATAATTACAACTCATGCAGAACTGCAGGTTGCATTTTTTGTAATTTAATTCAATTTTATTAATTCAATTATTTATGCAATGTAATATTAAAAAGTAATACTTAACAATTAATTTATTGTTTATAGCCTTTTGTTTCATAAGTTTATAATAAAATAAAAATGAGAACAAGGAAAAGAGGCATATGCAAGCCAAAGCTGAAAAAAGGACTTGGGTATGAGACATCTAGAAACAAGTTCCAACAATCCCTTGAAAGGATGATTATATTTTAGGTTATTTCTTTATTAGGTAAGTATTTAATTTTATTCATGTAAGTGGCTAACATAATCCTTAAAAATGCATTGTTATATCTAAACAAAACGATTTCTTTTTTATAGGTTTATTTAATGTTGGAGAAAACATAGAACTTCTTATGAAAAGCATAAAGTTTGATAAAAAAGCAATCAAGAGACATTGAAAAAGATACACAGTTTCTCCACGATCAAATAAATGCCAAGAAGATGATCATAGGAGCCCAAAAACAGGGGACTAGATAAAACCAAGGACAGGCTTTGTATTCTGGTCAACCATAATGGTGAGAGTCGTTTGCTAGGAGTTCCAGGTCTAGACCATGAAACAGGGGAAGCCCAATTTGAAGCTATAAAAGATCTTCTAAAATCTTATGGTCTTCTTGACTATGTTCATGGAATTCGTTTTGATACAACAGCTACAAATACTGGACATCTGAAAGGTGCACGTACTAGATTAGGAAAGTCTTGTAACAGACCATTAATCTTGTTAGCTTGCAGGCACCATGTTGGAGAAGAAAATATAACTAATCTGCAGTTGTTATTAATAATAGTTGTTATTACTAATAGCGTTGGACCTGAAAACCAGCTCTTCAAAGCTCTTAATCAGAAATGGGAGGTGGTTGCTGTACATGAAGTTGATATTATGTCCACATTTGATTACAATAAAAATCGTAAAACCTTGTTGAAGGTGCCTCAATAAGGCTATTTATTTAGTCATAAAAACCGAAGGTGCCTCAATAAAGCTATTTATTTAGTCATAAAAACCGAACACTAAGAGATTATGTCATGAAATTTGAAACTTGTCAATGAGTTTGAATTTAGCTAATAATAGTAAAATAAATATTTTGTAAACTTGTTGCTCCAACATTTAGGGCAAAGGGGGGAGAAGAGATTAGGGTGTTTTATTACTAAGTTCAGATCATCACAATTTTTTGCAAAGTATCTTTTTTTCTTTTTTTAACTTTTACTTAAGACGCCACAAGAAGACCTTACGGTCTGGCCACAGAGCATATATTTCCAAATGGCATTTGATTGCCCAGAATTTAAAGAAAAAATAATAAATTAGCACGATGGCGCAACCAATTTCCACCACTTAAATAAAATTTAAAAAAGTGGTAGTCAAAAAGAGTTTCCCATACAACGACTACAACGACTGCCTGCCCAAACCAAACCCTCAATCGATGTAGCAGCACTCCCTTGTGAGTCAGGCTATTTGTCAGTCGTTGTAGCAGCACTCCCTTGCGAGTCAGGCTATTTGTCAGTCGATGTAGCAGCAGTCAATGTAGCATATATATATATATATATATATATATATATATATATATATATATATATATATATATATATATATATATATATATATATATATATATATATATACGAGCTCGACACTTTCTTACTCCAGATTCTATTCTCTATCTCTATAAATCTCAAATCCGTCCCTGTATGGAATACTGTTGCCACATCTGGGGCGGATCTTCTAATGATGCTCTTTCTCTTTTAGACAAGGTGCAAAAACGAATTGTAAACATAGTTGGACCTGCTCTGGCAGCCAATCTCCAACCTTTGTCACATCGTCGTAATGTTGCTTCTCTTTCTCTTTTCTACAAATACTATAATGGGCACTGCTCTAAAGAGCTAGCGTCTCTTGTGCCATCTACTAAAATTCATTCTCGTGTTACTCGCCATTCAATTAAGTCTCATCCTTTTTCTGTGACTGTTCCTAAGTGCTTCAAAAACTCTTATTCTTCTAGTTTTTTTTCCTTGAACATCAGTTCTTTGGAATTCGCTTCCTTCATCTTGCTTTCCTGATTCATATAATTTGCAATCTTTTAAGTCATCAGTCAATCGTTATCTTGCTCTACAGTTTTAGTCTTTTCTCTTCCAGTAACTTCCAACTCTTATAGTGGTTGCTTGCAGCCTTGTTGGAAGTGAAGATGTTAAAAAAAAAAAATAAAAAAAAAAAAAAATAAAAAATGTCAAGTTAATACTTGTTTGTATTTTTAATTCATCTTAAAAGAACGGTAAAAGTTTAAAAAGTTTTTTTTTAATTTTTTGATTGAATGCTTGCTTAAACTAAACCCCCAGTCAATGTAGCAGTACTTCCACGCAGCAACAGGCTATAAGATAGTTGATATTTACTACAAATGGTAAGGTTAAAATCTTAACTAAAGGTATATATATATATATATATATATATATATATATATATATATATATATATATATATATATATATATATATATATATATATATATATATATATATATATATATATATGAAGACTACAGGAGAAAAAAGGCACATGTCACACATTTTCACTTTTGAGATAAATGAAATTTTGTCTTTAAAAGTCCCTATGTTTGTTCTTACTGTATTTCTTGGGACACCAAGTGTTTTGTCTTATAGATGTATCACTTCTTTTGTATTTATGAGAATTTCTCTGTCTAGATTGTATAATTTAATTAAATATGGAGGATTTAAACCACTAGGGGCGGTCATGGACATGTGCCTTTTTTCCCTTTTACAGACCGCTCACTTGAGACTTTCTTCTACAAGCTGAATTGCAATGTACCCAGTCAATTTTAAATGGATTTTAATGCCAATTTTGCTGTGGTAAATGACTAGGAATGATGGAACTGAAGTTGATTTTGTTTTTTTTATGCCTGTACGATTGATTATTCGAATATGGACACACCATACCAAAGCAGTTTTTTTTTACTTGTTTATTACAAAAAAATCATTACTATTGACAGTGATTGAGTTTTTTTTTCAACATTTTGATGCAATAAGGCTAAGACTCCTCATCTGAATCTGATTTTTCCTCATGGAGGTTGTTTGGCATGCTGCTATCATGAGAAAAATTGTCAAAAAATGCATGGTGCTTTGGGTCGCAGAACCTTTTTAACACCTGCAGGTCCTCAAACTTGGCCAGAGATATTGGCAGTGGGTGAAGGTAATTCCTCTCCATGTCAGACTTAAACACCGTCAGGGTTAGGGTTAACGTATCACTTATTAGCTATGCAAAGTTTTATGTACCGGGGGTCGGTAATGAGTCAAGTTTGTCTTCTTCTTGCTCCGGCCAGGATTTACTATTACTGTACTATCTTCTTTGTAATTCTTAACAAACGACAAAATAAAAAAATGAAAAAATTGAAAATTGGCTGAAGCTAGTCACATGACCTTTCTAGGAATTGTTGTTTGTGACATAGGCCTTTTTTTCCCTTTTACATTCTGGACTTGTGCCCTTTTTCCCCTGCATGTCATTTCTTTGGGTCTTTCTATAGCATTATATAGGTCTCTTTTGGGTTTGATTTTACTATTCTGCTAATCTTCAGGCTTGTGTTTATATAGTAGGGGATATAACTCAAAAAATTGGAAAATGTGACATGCGCCTTTTTTCCCCTGTGGTCTTCATATATATACCACATATCTATAGGTGTACACTTGAGGTTGTCAGATGGTACCAGGCAACCATATTTTTTTATATTTTTAGGCAACTAAAAATATTCTGATGATGTAATAAAGTCACCTGAAAGAGCCAATATTGGTTTTTATCATTTTTTAAATTTTTATTGTTTAAACAAAAGTACTACTCTCATTTATTTTTATTACAAATTTATTGAAGGACTTAAAAATCAAGTAATAGAACTAAATCAAAAAAAAATTACAGGCCTTGGTAAATGAAGCGTTACGCTTTTATTTCCAGGTTGCTTTTTACATTCGATATGGTGTACAATTACGTACAATATGAGTACGCGTTCATTTTTAAGCTAAAAACTTTTTTCTTTGGAATGTTTAAATTACCCTTTCATATTGTTTATGTAACATTTATTAGAAAATCTGAAGCTTTAAAACAAAACTCTAACTCAAAGTTAAAATATTTTTTTTTTACAATTTTAATTGCATTTGAAATAAATTACTTTATTTATTAAATGAACAAACTTTACTTAAATTACTGAAAAGCAAAATTATATTATTGATAAGAAAAAAATATCATTTTTAAATAGAATAAACCTTTTTTCAAAAAATTTCTAAAAAAATATTGTTTAAAAAAAAAAATGTAGTTTTTTTAAAATAGAAATCTTTAATTGTTTAATGGACTGATTAGAAAGTCAAGTTTTTAAAACAAATTTTAAACCATTCTTAGTAAAAATAGAAACAAAAAAAATGAACTAATTAAATCATTTGATTGGAATGGAAGATTTAATTTAACTTGATTTTGAACTTTTTTGAAATTTAATTTAACTTGATAGTGAACTCTTAATTTGAAGTAACTTAAAAAAATAATCTTTTAAAAGATTTTTAGAAAGACATGGACGCCGCCCATATTTTTTTCCTTGAATAGCCGATGTATATACATTACATACATCAAATGACAAATAGCCAAATAGCCTGACTCGCAGTGGAGTGCTGCTATATCGACTGAGGGTTTGGGATAGGAAAGCAATCATTTCATTCATCATTCTTCATTTTTTCTTCTTCTTTTTCGAAATAAATGGTATAGCTTAAGGTAAGCAGAAAAAGTGAGCTAATGCTTATCAAAACACGTTTTAGTAAGTGTATATATATATATATATATATATATATATATATATATATATATATATATATATATATATATATATATATATATAAGCATTAAAACATCATATACGGTATCATACTATATATTTCTTATTAACACAAATAGAACTGTTAGTTTTTAGTGTTTTTTCCAGAAAAAAAAAAACAAAAAACTAACAGCTCCATTTGTGTTAATAAGAAATATATAGTATGATACCGTATATGATGTTTTAATACTTACAACTACACATACTATTAAAGATGTCACTTAAATTTTATATATATATATATCTATATATATATATATATATATATATATATATATATATATATATATATATATATATATATATATATATATATATATATATCAGGGTTTTACCCAGCCTGATGGCACCACGTATAACGCGGTATTCCCAATTGGTTTAAAATTCCCAAAAGTTTATAAGATAATAGTAAAAAAAAAAATTTTTTTAAATTGGGCTTTTCTCAAAATACGTAATTAAGGCGTTTTGAAAAACGGCTGCAGTATATCAAAAACAAAGAAAAGAAGCGATTTAAATAAAAACTTTAGAAGATTGCTCTTAATGAAACAAGTTGATTAATTAAAATTGATCATATATAAAGTAGAAAAATAATCCTGCTGTAAATGTAAAGCAAAAATAGAAAGTTTATTTTGATTAAAATTTAATTGCAGAATGTAAGGACCTTTTTTTTTTTTTTTTATATATATATATATTTTAAACATCATCGCTTCCAACAAGGCTGCAAGCAACCACTAATTAGTGTTGGAAGTTACTGGAAGAGAAAAGATGAAGATTGTAGAGCAAGATAACGATTGACAGACGACTTAAAAGATTGCAAATTATATGAATCAGGAAAGCAAGATGAAGGAAGCGAATTCCAAAGAACTGATGTTCGAGGAAAAAAGCTAGACGAATAAGAGTTTTTGGAGCACTTAGGAACAGTAACAGAAAAAGGATGAGACTTAATTGAATGACGAGTAACACGAAAATGAATTTTAGTAGATGGCACAAGAGACGCTAGCTCTTTAGAGCAATGCCCATTATAGTATTTGTAGAAAGGAAAAAAAGAAGCAACATTACGACAATGTGACAAAAGTTGAAGGTTGGCTGCAAGAGCAGGTCCAACTATGTATCTAAAAGATCTTTAATGTAAATTAAAAAGAGTATAGGGCCAAGGATTGAACCTTGAGGAACCCCTGAGGTTACAGAATAAGAAGAAGAGTGTTGTCCATCAATGACAACTTTTATACTACGATTGGAAAGAAAGGATTCAATAATCTTAAAGATGTTTCCAGATACACCATAAGCAAAAAGCTTATGGAGAAGACCAGCATACAAACTTTATCAAATGCTTTAGAAATGTCAAGAATGATGGTCTTAACCTCTTCACCTTTATCTAATGCACAATTAAACCTTTCGGTTATTACTGTTAGCAAATCAGCCATAAAACGAGAAAAGATCGAAATCCATATTGGTGATCAGAAAGTAAGTTATTAGATTCAAGATGAGAGATCAAGTGTTTGTTAATTAAAGATTCAAAAACCTTGCTTATGATAGAAAGAAGACTAATGGTATGGTAGCTCAACGAATCAGATTGCACTCCAGAGTTTTTAAAAACTCTGGAGAACGATCTAAATAGATGAGAGCTCCGGAGAACACTTCTGCAAGACTATAACAGGTATGTTGTCCGGGCCACAAGCTGTAGAAAACTCTAAGCAGGAAATCACTTTAGATACAGAAGCTGGAGTGATACGGATGTCTAGCAATGAATCAACCTGTTTGACGACTATATCAGGTAGAACGTAACTAGTGGAACCAAGAGATGATATTGATGAAAAGTTCTTGACAAACTTTGTCTTTAGGTGAGATGACAAAGTCTGAACCATGCAAAAGAAGTGGAATTACAGACATGCCCTTATTATTGATACTATTAAAGATTCTCCAGAAGTCACGAGAGCCTAATTTTTGTGATGAAATACGAGACTTCATGATCTGAAAATAGGGGGCCTTTTAACAGTGGTTCCTAGCAGCAATAAACAGACGTCTGTTTTCTGGAGAATTGTTTTGCTGATAGATATGGAAGTAATGGTTTCAATCGGCAATTGCAACAGTACAGTGTGAGGAAAACCAAGGGAAAGAGTGATGCTTGACCTGGAATCGTTGAAAGGGAATTAAGGATTCCATGCCAGCCTGAATTCACGAAATTATGTAAGAAGCACATTTGTCAACAGCAAGACGAAAGATTTCTACCCAAGGGCCATCACAAAGAAAATCACAGAAAGAGTCCCAGTCAGCTTTAAGGTAGTTGTAAGATGCACGATGATAGGGGGATTCTAATGATAAAGAAGAATGAGATAATAGTTTTAGAGAGACCAAACCATGATCGGAAGCACCTAAGGGCAAACATGGAGAAACCGAGCACTGACTAGGATCAGAAACAAGACATAAGAGTAGAGAAGGTAAATGATTCGAGTTATCTGGAAAGCGAGTTGGAAAGTTGACTATTTGAGTTAGGGATTGAGAAAGACAAAAGTTGTGGGCTTCAATGCCTGCAGAGTCACTGACATTTGACCCAAGCCATTTAGTGTGATGAACATTAAAGTCACCAACAACAACAATATTGGCTGATGGATAAAGAGAGAGGGCTTGGTCAATATGATCAGAAATAACATCAAGAAGAGTGCAGTCTTGAGATGAAGGAGAACGGTATAGAACAAAGAGAAAGGTGATAGAGTGAAGTGGTGCAAAACGAAAGAACATAAAAGAGTAGTCTGTGGATTCAAACCTAGTTTCCCGACAAATGGGTGAATTCTTATGAATGTAAATGCCCAGGCCAAGCATGTGACTATTGGAGTCTTTACGAATTAAAGGAAGACAACCATCAACACTTAGATCACAAGATAAGACAGCTAAACTCAAATTAGTCTCACAAAGAACAAGTAGGTCTGGTGAACTTTGCAAGAGATAAGACTCAACAGAAGAAAAGTTACTTTGAAGACCCAAATATTAGTGAATGGTAGGTTTAGCGAACTTGGTGATGACTGTGGTTTTTTGTGTTTTATAGTTTTTGTTACTTTATTCATTTTTAAATTTGTTAAAAAACTTGACTCGAAACATAAATAGCACTCAGTACACTGTTTAATAGCCCAAGCAATTGCCTCATTACTATTAATGAACCTAAGCCGTAACAAAGGGTTTAAATGTGGCCTTGGCAATGCACACCAAAAGTACAAACAGGGACGCCATTCATGAGCAACATGGCACTGTTAGTACTTTGATATTTCTCAGTTGTTGATGGAATATATACATACATATGCATAAACAGATACATATACATACATATGCATAAACACACACACGCATATACATACATATGCAAAAAATGAATATATACATACATATGCATAAACAAACACACACACACATATATATACACATACATACATACATACATACATACATACATACATACATACATACATACATACATACATACATACATACATACATACATACATACATACATACATACATACATACATACATACATACATACATACATACATACATATATATATATATATATATATATATATATATATATATATATATATATATATATATATATATATATATCGAAGATATGCTGGAAACTTATTCAATTATATTCTTTCACCTAGATTTTTCATTTATCTATGCACCTGCAAAATTTCATTGATTATTTTTGTGGCAGGCACCCTATTTTTAGTAGCACTTTTGGCACTTTTTCCCAATGTCAATTTGGAAGGCAGAGAGTTTACTTAATTACTTTATTTATTATTTGATTAAAAGTATAAATTACTAAAAAATGAACAGCCAAGAAAACTATGAAGGTTTTACATATTATTTTATTCAAATCAATTATAGGTGTAAATTTGGTTTAGGTGATTTTTCAAAAATCACCTAAACCAAATTTTCAATAGGTTATTGTTAGAGATGAAACATATTAAATGTCATTTAATAACCAAAAGCATGATTTATAATACATATAACTTAAACAAATAAAAAACATTGTTATACAGTTTTAGCTGATCATAGTATTTTAATGGCTGAGTAAGCCAACAACATCAGTTAGTTATTTTATCTTTTCAATATCATAATAGTTATATACTTTTTATTAGAGATCAATATATATAGTATATGAAAATGTTTATATTGCTTTGTAAAAACATTGATTAACTTTTAATTTTTTTAATATTTTTTATTAAAATTTTAATTATTGTTTAGATAAAGTTTCCATTAAATTCCTGTTATATGATTTATCATTTTATTACACATTTCTCTTGGTATTTAATTATAGTTATTTATTATTGATGTTGAGGTTGGTGTCCAATCACATAATTTAATAATAGTTTTATTCTTACAAACTTATTACATAATTTTTATTTAATATTTATATTTATAATTTAAGTTTGAATTGTTTAGATGTTTAGTCATTTAAAAATATTTATGTGCTGCATTTAATTTTGATCCAATACAATCCAATTACATCCGAAATCTGTTTTGTATAATAACATGATGAAACTGGTATTGAGTTTGTTGACTATTGTATGAAAAAGATCCAACTTGCTGCAAATGTTGTCTCTGGATAGTTGCAATTTTATTAACTTGACTCCCCAAAAAATGCAAAACTCATTATAAGTGCTGTGACTTGCAAAAACTAATCGCATGTACTGTGATTTGAAAAAACTCATTGTAAGTTACTGGGTCATTTCGTGTCAAATCAACCCCAAAAAAATCTTGGCACCATGCTATCTCAGATTTTGATGATTTTTGGAATACAAGCTCATATTAATGAAAGAAAACTTCACTCCAAATTTTAGTGTCTGACTCCTTACAGTTTCAGAGAAATCAATACTCAGTCCCAATCTCTTTTTTGGTTATTTTTTTCAGCACCATTTACTTTTTAAGCTAATTACATCACACAATTAGCTTTAACTTATAAAATACTTGCTCAATACTGTTGACAATTTGTACTATTTTTTAGGAAGAGGAACTTAAAAATGATACCTAAAACACAAAAAATTAAAACTTCTTAATGAAAATGCATTTTCAAAATGGTTTAACACTT